ATGTTACTACACCCAAAAATCATTTTTTTTCAGTGTAGCTTCAAGAGCTCGAGTAAAAAGAGACCAGGTGTGGTGGTCACAAAGGGTTCTGTTTAAAAAGAGGATTTTTCTCTGATGGATTCATTCGGGTCAAAGATTTGGGTCTAAAAATGATGATTATTTATATCCTGGTTTGTCAAAGATCCACATTCAAACTTCACAACTTCACCATGTTAGGATGAAGCTCATAATGTGCCAAACTCTTAATTATTTTCATAGAACATTAGCATCATTAGCTTTAAGAAACCTKGTCACAATTATAAAGACTTGTTTTTCAATTAATTGTTATAAAAACCTAAAATTTTCATCTTTCAGATAACAAAATAAAAGTCACAGAGACTCATTCTTTATGACTGGTTGAAGCACAAACAACAAGTCGTTTAACAAAGAGTCATGATCTTTTTCATTCTTTCTGCTTTTAGCTGTTTGTAACAAATAAAACTAAATACATCATATCTAAACAGACTGGTTAGTTAATTATCCACTTGAAGTTTTATGACTAATATAGGCCCACAGCCAAAATGAGAACCAATAAATAAATACATTTCATTCAGAAAACCCTGAGCAAGAAAAAAAAGTAAAAACTGGAACATAAATATGTCATAAATTTGCCTTTTATGCTTAATGAACAAAACGCAGTAAAGGTTCAGGAAAGTAAAGGGTGTGTGATTTTTAACAAGTTGATGCTGAGTTCAGAGCATGAAGGATTCTGTTTCAATTCTCCACTGACTCTTCAGAATCATATCCTCTTCCTCCTGCAGAAGTCTTAGCTCAGCGTTTTTCCATCACTACAACTTCAGGAGTTGACTAAAACACACATGAACTCGTGAGATGGAGGTGAAAACGAAAGACAAACACATGGCTGCACATTTTTAAACGTCTGAAATGTAAACTAGAACCATTCATTGTTCAGTTTCAACCAAGTATGAAGTATTATTAATAATAAGGCTCATAAGGATGTTTTTATTTCTGCATTGCATTTTGTCATCTTTTGTTCATTTCGGTGCAAAGTGTGCGACGCTGCAGGTTTGAGTGCAGCTTCTCTCAGGAAGGGCTTCCAGTGGAAACAATCTCCAAATATTTACTGAACGTTACATCCCCCTGGTGATCCCTGCACAACGGGAGCAGCTGGAAGAACTATASAAACTGGATTAGGTGACATTTTAATGACATAACTGCAATTTATTCTAGATGAGTTTTATCTATTTAATCACAGAATGTTAAGCTGTGAGTCAGACAAAATGTTTTCATCAAACTCTTCTGACTGTTTTTACAGCTGATCCAGAAACAGGCAGTCCACAGAGCTGTCTGAACAACAACACGCAGTTTGAAATGGTTACAAAACAGGTTTTAAACCATGTCTGTTTAAATCCTTACAGACAAACAGGTACAGAGGTACAGAGGTACCAGCCATCAGCCTTGTGTAACTCCCAAAGTTTCTGTGAAGCCGTTTGTTTTCTCAGCTCTTGTTTGGTGCCTCGTTGWTTCAAATCTCTTCAGAGATCATTGGATCTTTTCTCCTTTAACTGGACCTTTGACATGTTTCTGAACTTCTGGACCAGATTGTTTCTGATCCAAACAATTAGCTTTGGCCAGATGTATTTTCCCTTGGACTCCTGTGTGTCACAGCACACAGAAACACTGCGTTTCTTAAAGAGTTTTTGTTTTAATAAAGAAACATACATTTGTTTTCCAACACTAACTCTCTCCTCTGTTTCTGGAGTGATTTACTGTCTGGTGTGTGCTTACAGCAGAGACCCAGACGGGCTTATGGCAGCCGGTTTAACAGTTATTTTGAATTTGGTTCTTAAACAGTTTATACATCACAACGTAGACATTTAGTCAGAATAAATGATCACATGTGGTTTGTTGCGTTATACAGATTAAACTGTCCTGTGGTAAATGTTTTATTTTGAAGTTTCAAACCAGTAAAGTGGATGTTTGTCACAGATTTATCAGCTCTAGATGTTGTCAGGACCTTGGACCTGAGCTCACTTTCAGTCCGTGATGTAAGCACTGTCCCATAAACGGACAAAGTTCACAGGACTGAGCAGATTTACAGGAGAGAGAAACACTCGTTCCTTCTCTGTTCGTTTGTTGTAGAGAAATCAAACATTGCACAAATTTGTTCAGTTACTGAGGTTT